TGAGGGCCCCCTGCGTGCGGGTGAGCGTGCCGGCGTCTGCATGGCTGCATCTGCCCATGTGTGCTCGCAGGTGCGGCCCGGAGCCTCCATGCTGACTGAGGGCTACCTGGACAGCCCACCCGGGGTCACCTCACGTGTCACCTCTGGTGATGGCAAGAGCTGGCCACTCCCCGGGGCTGGCTGGAGGCTCCTGGGTTGCTGGTGGACATGACCCCAGACCCTGGAGCACTAGAATTTGTCCTGGCTCATGTTGCATCGTCACAACCTTGGCAGTGCCTCATTGCCCCATTTGTACTCGGAAGCACTTATAGTACAAGCATTGTGGGCCTGCAGTGTACTCCAGAAGCAGCTGTGGGTAAAACCCCCGCAGGCCTGGGCACAGCTGCCGCTCCAATCTCCAGATGAGGAAATTGAGGCTGGCAGGGCAGTGACCCTGCATGTGCCCAGGCATGGCTAGGCCTTTTTAAAGGGGCCCAGGCAACCCCCCTCTACCGCAGGACTGGGGCCTCACAGGCGAGGGCGGCCCCAGCCCCGGGCACCAGGGGCAGGGCTGGCTCGTGCCCACCAGCTGCATGCATAGAACAGAAGCCCGGGGAGCTCTGGGAGCATTCTCAGGGCAGTGACTCGCTGTGGCAGCGGCGTCTGGCCCCCGGTGAGCCCTGCTCCAGAGAAGTCCTGCTGATAGCAAATTTCCTTCCAGGAGAGGAAACTGGCAGGGCTGTTGGCTTTAGAGTTCATCCTCTCGAACCTTCAGGGAAATGCTGTGGTCCTCTCTTGGAGCCAGGACGTGTGTGGCACGAGGCCTCCTGCCTGTGGAAGCTGGGGAGCTTTGTCTGCACAGGGCCCACGCCGGGTGCATGGCAACTTGGTCAGGGCAGGCGACTTTCCCGCTCCCCCACTTCTTCCAGACGCAGAAGGTACTGTCCTGGGGCCCCACGTGACACTGTGGGCTGTGGCCGGTTTGGAGCTGGACTGAGTCCAGTCCAGGGGAGAGAGGCACTAGTGTTTTAAGTTTTCTGACAATCTGGTTGTTGTTTTTTAAAGAAAAAATAACAGAAAAAGTGACAAGTTAGAACAATTCGTGGTTGACAGATGTGTCCTTTTTACCACGTGAATGATGCGGTGGCCCGATGTGTCTGGAGAGATGACCTAGAGTTTTCCTGAGGCCCTTCCAGAGCCTGCCGAGGCGCTGGGGCTAGTGGCAGGGGGAGGGAGGAGTCCCGGCCCAGAGGGGGTGGGTCCCGGAGGAGGTTCTATCTGCAGCGCCCACCGCATAAGTCACCCCTATGCTTGCTTCCCTTCCCTGTCCAGCCCATTTTGTCTCCTTGGTTCACAAATGCTTGTTAGAAAGACAGATCCCTCCCCCCACCATGTGACCGCTTAGGGCAGGTTGCCCCTGCAGGTTTCATGGTTGGTGGTGGACCGTCCACACATTCTTTCCCTTTGCTCAGATTTCTGTCACAGGCAGCCCTGTTCTCTCTCTGGGGCTCAGATGTGAGAGCTCAGAGGTTATCCCCTGGACCAGAAACAGCCTTTGTAACTTCAGCCATGTAGGTCAAAAGTGGCCTTGGATGGCCCTAAGAAGGCTCTGAGGTGGGAGCTTGCTCCTTCCTCCCTGTGAGAGCTCAGCCCACGGTGATGCGTGAGGTGCGCACCTCAGGATCAGGCCACACAGGGGCAGGAGGCTTACTCTTTCCAGAATGAAGTGGTCCACGGGAGGGTGGGGAGAGAAAGCTTGCCACTTTCTGTGTCAACAAGAAAGTCACAGCGCCCGTGTTGGGAAGGGGCGGGGCTCCAAGGGATGGGAGATTGGGCCCAGGGGCCCGCTCAGCACAGCTGCAGTGTCCTGCCTGGGGACTCCGCCCCAGCCTCCTGTCCCCGCTGCGGTATCTGGGTGTGCATGTGCACGTGCACACCTGTTGGGGGGGTGGGGGGAGAGGCCTCAAAGCCCTGCCTCCCCGTACCTGTGGGCCCTTTAGGTGGTGTCTGCCCATGCCTCCTGTGTTGTCGAGTGCTGCGTCAGCCTGGCCACAGGTGATCGGTCAGACGGGAGGGTGTGTGGACGAGGTTGCATTTCCATCTGTAGACTGAGTGTGGTAGGCGTCTCCCTGCATGTGGGCCAGCCCAGTCCCATCTGCTGAAGACCTACGTGGGACAAAAGCCCCGCCCTGTCGTGAGGAAGCCTTCTGAGTGGGGTTATGGCCTTCTCCACCTTCAGATGGGAGGCTGGGGGGAGGTGGAGACCCACGGGTGGTCAGTGAGGTTCTGAGGGGACAGACCTACAGCCTGGCGCCAGTGGACAGGTGGGGGTTCTGGGGGCCTCGCTGCTTTCCAGGGTCTGGGTGGGAACAGTTGGGTGACCAGGAATCTCTCTGGACTTCTCTGGGCCTTGGCCTCTGTCTGTAAAGGGGTTGGCATTCATGTGTCATGGGCACAGCAGGAGTCCATATGTATTGAGTACTCTGCGTGTGGGAAGCGAGCTGTTGTGTTCACCAGTGCTTTCTGTCAGTGGAGGCACAGCATCAGTGTTGTTCCCCAGGGAAGCCCATGGCCATATGCAGGGCCAGCTGCTGACTGCTGTCAGATGTCAGAGCCTTCCTCTTGGCCTCCCTCCCATCCCCAGGAGACAGGCATGCACCTCTGAAGCGGCTCCTTCCCTTCCACTTCCTTGTCTGCATTAGCCTTCTCTCCTTTTGGGAGTCATGACAACTCGCCTGATGGGCCGGCTCCCTCCTGATCTGATCCCAGGTGCCTGGAGCCGATCTGGCATACAGTCGGTGCTCACTGCCACTGTAATGAGTTGGCCTGATTCCTGTGGGAGGGGCAGGCATGGGAAGTCCTGGGATCAGCAGGGACTCTTGTCAGCGGGGCATGAGGTGGGGAGTGGCCCCTTCCAACTGAGACAAGCTGGTGCCCTGGGGGGTTCCAGAGGCGGCTGCAAAAGTGCAGGTGACCTGTGGGTGTCTCGGGTCTGATAACCCAGAGTGTGAGCATGGGAAGGGGGCTGTTCTGCATCCAGCAAGTTTGGGTCCCCCTTGCCACTCAGGCAGAATCTGCCTTTGGAACTTTGGTCAGATCCACAACTGTGGGCCTGGCAGGTCATCAGTGGGGACCTGAGTTCCAGGCTGACAGGACTGCTGCGTGGCATGGTGTCTGACCTCATGGATGTCCCAGGACAAGTGCCCCACCTGTGGCCCCACGGCTCAGCTGACCTTTAGGAGCCCCCATCCCCAGTGGGACACCATTCCTCTCTCTTCCTGATACCCCTGAGTTGACACTGAGGATAGAGCAGGGGTGTGCAGGAAGGTGAGTGTGCCAGTGCTTGGTGAGGGGGCAGGCGTCACAGGGTGCAACATGCTTCCTCTTGAGAGGCTATGGATGGCATTTCACTCCCCACATCCTGCTCAAGCTCCAAGTCTATGTGCCTGTGGGTTTGGGCCTGGGAGAGGGGAGGGATCTGCTACCGCCACAGTGTGCAGCGCAGAACTGGGTGGTCAGTCAGGCTGAAGTTGGACATGGTTGCTCCCGGGCCGGGCTACGGGCCACATCAGACAGGGCAGTCAGGGTGCTTCTGTGTCTGGAGGGACAACTCCAGTCTGGTTGGCCTCATCGGCGCCCCTGGTAAATTCTGGAAAGTGTGGGTCCTGGTCACTGGGTGGGAAGAGGGACGTGGGGAATCTTCTTGAGGTGGCTGCGGACCCTGAGTTGGAGGACCCCACCCGGCAAGCACAAAACCTCAGTTTCCTGCCTCCAGTCCAGGGGACCAGAGCAGACTCGGACCTTGTCCTTGCTGCCACCCGCTTATGTGCCTGGGGACACTTCTTGCAGGGCTGTAGGATAAAGTCACCACTGCGCTCATTCAGGCTTTCCTCCCCCCCTCCTCCCTGGACAAATGCTCTTGGAGTCTGCTGAGCCCCTTGTTGGCTTTTCCTTGCCTCTTTCTTCAGCAGCCCAGGGGTGCTGGAGCTGTCTCCAGCTTCTCCGTGGGTGCCAGCAAGAGGCACCTCACCTGCTCAGTGCATGTCAGTGCCAGGTCCTCCTGGGTTCCGGGCACATGGGCAGGGCTGTGTGTGTTGGGGGGGGGAGGGGTGGGGCAGGGCATCTAGACCTCTGTATAGTAGGAGCTGTGCAGGCAGTGCAGAGGCTTGATGGGATGGGAGACCACACTGTCCTCAGCATCAGTGTAACACATGCTTGTTAAACCCCCACTGTGTGTCAGGCTCAGCTCCAGGCACTGGGTACAGCTGTGAGCAGGGCTGGCCCACATCTCTGCTCTAGGGCTGGATCTGGGGTCACTCACTGAAGCCCTGCATGCCTGGCTGAGATGGAGACTGTTTTCCCAGGTTAGCTCCCGTCTGGTCAGGATGCCAGGCTGCAGGGAATTTGGGCTGATAGACCCACCGGTGGCTCAGGACCAGAGGAGGAGGCAGCTGGAGTTGCAACATCTCTGCCTTTGGCCAGCTACTGTGGTAATGGCCCTCAGCCCAGGGCTCACCCTGGTCTCAGACTGGGAATCCAAGGGTTACTCCCAGGATGGGCCATGTCTCACAGAGGCCAGCACAGCCACCAGTCTCAGTGCCTGCTTCCTGTGAGCTTGGTCGAGACTTCACACTGGGCCTAGGATCAGGGCACGCTATTACTGGCTGGGCTCCTTGGGAAACACCCCAGTCATCCTCCCCAAACCCCCAGTCCTGACAGGCCCGCCCATACTCATCTGACCCATCTGTGCCCTACCCGTCCCTCCATCTCCCTTCACTCCCCTCACGCGGCCCCCCAGGGTGGGAGGCTCCTTCGCAAGCTTCGAGTGGTAGCCTGACAGCCTGCTGTGAGGGCGGCGTGGGCTGCAGCCCAGGCTGCAGCCCCTCCAGGTGGGTGCTGTCACGTGCACAGAGCCCCACCTTTGGCACAACAGTCTCTCGTGGTGTCACAGGTGGGATAGCTAACACTCGGAACCATGGGTCACCACCGATTAACTGGCTTTGTTCTTCCTCACTCCACAGAAGGACATGGCCCTGAAGCCACACGAGCGGAAGGAGAAGTGGGAACGTCGCCTTGTCAAGAAGCCCCGGGAGGCAGAGAACTGCCCGTCTGCAGAGCCAAGTGAGAACGGGCGGCCCCTGGAGGCAGGCAGCTCTGAGCAGGACCTGGAGACCCCCTGTGACCGAGGGAAGAAGAAGGTCCCTCTGCAGCCCACCAAGCAGGTGAGTCCCGGGCCCCTCCCACTCAGAGCCATGGGCTCTGTGCCCTCTGCCCCCAGGCAGCCTCGGGGCCACACCAGCACCTGGACACCACCCATCGGCAGCTGGGCCTCCCTGGCAACGTGCTCCGTCGTTGTCGGGGGTGGGGTATGGGGCACACGTGGACTAGGGCCAGGGGCGCCCATCCGCCGGAAGTCTGAGGGTCCTGAATAGAGGCAAGAGACACCTCGGGTGGGTCACAGCCAGAGAGAGGCGACACCAGGCCAGGAACTGGGGGCTGGGGGGGTCTTGACTCAGGCGGGACGGGAGGGTGCACCGCTGATAGGCTGGCCCCGTTTCCCCATTGCGTCTGTCAGGCTCCGCCGACTACAGGGTGTCCAGCGTGTCTGTAATGCGTGGGGTCCAGTCTCATTGCTGGGTGCTCTCCATGTGCTAAACTTATGCGAAGCGCAGTGTCTGCAAGACGAGGGGAGTCACATCACTTCTGTTTGGTGGTCCAGGTGCAAGGAGCAGCCCCGCTGGGAGCGGGCCCTCAGTGTGGGGTGATCCTTGCTGTTACCCAGAGCCCAGCTGGCATGGGGCAGGGAGACTGGGGCCAGGGGCTTATCTCCCAAAGTGCAGGGTTCTGTCCTAGGTGTCGGCTCAGCACTGCAGCTGCTTTCCTCTTCAGGGACTCACTGGTTTGCGCCTTCTTTTCAGAGAGGGGGTTCTTCTTGGTGTTTCACACTCCACTTTCAACTCCCTTGGGGATTGGAATGCTGGTGAGGGGCAGCATGTCTCAGGGACCCGGGCTGGATGGGGGGTCTACAGACACACCTGCCCAGGTGGACACGTGCTCTTTCTTCCATGCAGGTGTGCTCCCCAGAAGGGGGGCCGCTCCCAGCCAACCACTGGGACCAGAACGGCCCGGCCCAGCGCCAGCAGCAGCTCCAGCCCAGCCAGCCCCAGGGGTCACTCCCAGCCCCGTGTCAGCGCTGCCAGCCCCGTCGGGCTTCCCCGGACCCCGGGCACCCCTGCCAGCCCCAGCGGCCACTCACGGGTCAGCGCAGCTGGCCCCAGCGGTCACTTCTGGGCCCAAGACAGCCCTGCCAGCCCCGGCGGTCACTTCTGGGCCCAGGTCAGCCCTGCCGGCCCCAGCAGCTGCTTCCAGCCCCAGATCAGCCCTGCCGGCCCCAGCGGTCACTCCCAGCTCAGCCCCACCACCCGCGTTGGGCACTAGCCCCCAGGCAGCGTTTCCGGCGCCTGCGCTCCCTCCTGGCCCCATGGCAGCGCTGCCGGCCCCTACGGTCTATCCTGGCCCCTTGTTACCTCTGTCGACCCCTACGGTCCATCCTGGCCCCATGGCACCGCTGCCGGCCCCTGCGGTCCATCCTGGTCCCGTGCCACGTCTGCCGGTCCCTGCTGGCCCTCTGGCACCGCTGCTGGCCCGTGCGGTCAGGGGTGGGCCCGTGTTTCCGTGGCCAGCCCAACAGGGCATCCTCAGGACAGCGGTGCCGGCCCCTTCGATCACTGCTAGCCCAGTGTCAGCGGTGTCAGCCCCCCCAGTCGCTCCTCATGTTGCGTCCACGTCGCCGGCCCACCAGCTCACACTTAGGCCAGTGCTGCTGCCCCCGGCGGGCGTTCCTAGCCCCATGCCAGCCCCGGAGATCCCTCCTGGGCCAGCCCAGCCGCCCCCGGCGGTCACTGCTTGGTCTCAATCAGCCCCAGCAGTTAGTTGAAGCCCCAGAGCAGCTTGGCCCCCCGAAACCTTCACTGCTGGGCCCTGGACAGCCGTGCCAACAAAAGCGGCCACTCATGGACCCAAAACAGCCTCACCCACCCAAGCGGCCACTCTTGGGCCCAGAACAGCCCTGCCGACGAAAGCAGCCACTCTTGGGCCCAGAACAGCCCTGCCAGCCCTTGCGGTCACTTTTGGGCCCGAGCCAGCCCTGCAAGCCCCAGCCGTTACTCCCCTTACCTGAGCGCCCCTCACTTCTAGGTCGGCCAGCTCCACCCCGCCGGCCTCTCCTGGGGCCCCCGAGCCAGCCACGGCAGTCCCTGCTGAACCTGGTGCGGGCCCATCAGCCCCAGCTCTCCCTCCTGGCCCTGGGCCAACCCTGCCAGCCCCTGAGGTCACGACGGACTCGATCCTCCACCCCTGCAGTGGCCCGCCAGGCCCCGTCCGTGAGCCCTGGAGCCTGATGCCTGTTTTCCCAGACCACCCCAGGTGTGGCTCTGCTGAGCCGGGCCAAGGCCCCCCTTACCTTCCAGCCTGAGATGTGTTGTCAGACTGATCAGAGGCCTTCTCCAGACAGTCCGGGCTGTTTGTGGTTGGAAGCTAGGGCTCAGCAGAGGCGGGAGCCCCCTTCAGGGTCGCCACCAATCTGAGGCCCCCCTGCACCAGGAAGAGAGGAGAGGACCTCAGCACCTTCCCACCTCCCACATTCTCACCCCCACTGTGCCCACTGCGTTGTGACTTGCACGCCTCCAGGAGAGGGAACACGGCTACCCCCAAGGGCTCAGGCTTGGGGTGGTGGGGGGCGATCCTTCAGCATCTCTCTGTGCCTCTAAAAGTGCCCACGTGTCCTTTAGTGTTGGGAGTTCCATGCCCAGGTGTACTGTTCAGAGAGTGAGTGTGTGTGTGTGCATGTACGCGGTGTGTGGTCTGCAAGTGTGCTCGTGTCCATGGAGAGAGAGTGTGTCTGTGTGTGAGATTTTGGGAGGTGTGCCAGCTGTAGGGCTTGCCCTCCTTGGGTCCCGCTCCATCTGGCCAGTGTGCATTCCCCACGCCCCTCACCAGGCACTAAGTGGGCACAAGCAGAACCAGGCCTGGGCTCCTGCTTGCCTGCCCTCTCTCTGGCCAAGGGTCGTGTCTGTCCAGTTCCAGGGTCCTGTGACATGGAGAGAGGGCCTGAAGGATACTCAGGGCCGTCCATGGTTGAGTAGGGTCTGCTGGTGCCAAGGAGGGTCACCTCGGGAGTCTGTTTCCACCCTGGTGGCTGGGCAGTGAGGCGGAGGGCAGAGTCTCCCACCCGCCCCACCAGCTTTGGGCCAAGAAAGCCTGCAGGACCAAGGCCATTCCCAGAATGTCCGCTCCCAGCCTCCCACTGGTCCCCTACAGCTTTCTGGCTCCCGGCCCCCCAGGACGTCCCCCGTCAGGACCTCACACTACAAGGCTTTCTCTGTCGCACCCCCACCCCGCCACCAGACCCACGTCTGCACTCAAGGGTCATCCACCCTTTGCCCCTGGAGTCCCAGCACAGGTGGGAGAGCAGCGTCAGCCATCAGGGCTCAGTGCTGCATGCGCCCGTCTCACGCGGCTGTGATGGCCACTTCTAGCAGTGACCTGGTTCCTGGAGGCCACAGACACACCCTGCCCCTCACACCCCACCCCACCCCGGTTTCCAGGCCCAAGCCTTCCTCCCTGCTTGGTCGTGAAGACCTTGACACCCAGAGCAGGGCCTGCAGATACCTGGTCTCCCTCCCAGAAACATGGGACATATTTTTCTGATTAAAGAAAATAAAAAGTGCTGTGCCATTATTTTTATAATAGCATCAGTGTTTGTAATTTAACATAGTATGTGTCGTATGGAAAGTTATTTATTCCAACAAGTGGTTTTCTGCACATCTGGACTTGCCTCTTGTTTATTCCATTTCAGCTGAGCTGCAGGAGAGCAGCCAGGGGAGGGGGTGCCCAGGCAGGGGGGCGCCTGGCCGGGACATGGCTCACCATGCCACGTGGTGTGGGCCTGGGGGCTGCAGCTTGCCGTAATGACCCTCCACACCCTCCTGGCACCCTGCTTAATGGACCTGCTCCTCCTGTCCTGTTTCTTGGATCCCCAGCGGGGTCTTTTTCTCCATGCCACTGAAGGTGCTTCTGAGATCTTGTCATCAGGACTCCCACTATCCCATTGTTCACAGAGGGTGGCCTTGCCACCCTCCCACTGCCTTGAACTCTCAACCCAGGTGCAGTCTGAGCATCTCTGCCTCCAGTCCCTGTGCCTGCTCTTGTCTGGGCGTGTCTCGGGCAGGGCAGGCCAGGAGTGGACAATTGGTCGCCAACTTTCTAGGCCTCTGTGCTCTGGGAATGTTGGCTGCAGTACTTAGGTGCCACTTAGTGGCTGAAACACAACTCTTGGGGGCACCATCTCTGATGGCAGGAGAGGGGTGGGGAAGAGGGCTGAGCCCACAGGATTGCCAGAGCCTGGGGCTACCCCACCCCACTGTGGGTGAACTCCCTGGTGGTTGGGGGTGGGGGCTGTCCCTTGTGTGATCACTGCTGAAGAAGGGACTTGGGTTCCATCCGGACCTAGCGGGGCTCTCTAACCCCCACATGACTGTGGTCACCACTGGCCTCAGGTTCAAAGTGCCAGGACCCTGAGGGATGTGCATTTGGGCAAGGCATCCACTGGCCATAGAGAGGACTGGATCACATGCGTCGTGTCCTGGGGGACCCATGTTGCCATGAAAAAATATAGGTGGTCCAGTGTGGCCAGATCTGTGTTTCTGAGAACAGCGGGAAACCTGGGTTTTTCTGTGGATTCAGTGGTTTTATTCAAACATTGGTGGCTAATTCTAATTTGATGACTCATCCTGCTGGCCAAAGGATACAGCTGTGTGGGCTCTGCATGGCCTGCTGGCAGAGGTTTGGGCCCTGGCAGTTGTCCTGGCCCTGAAGCCAAGGGTGTGCGATCTGGCCCACCTCGTTGTGGGGAGAATGGGGCAGCCTGGCCTGATGGGTGGAGTTGGAGTCTTTGAGGGGGCTGCTGCCTTGGGGGTCTAGGGGAGGCCCTGTGCTGCCCCAGGGAGCCCTCGGATGGAGACTGGAGCCTGAGCAGAGTGCTCTGCTGGGGCCTCTCCTCTGCACCGTGCGGCCCACCTCCCCTTCTGCAGACTGGGCTGTGGGGCGGGGACATGTGCCTTCTGTACGGGAGCCCCTGATGCGATGCCTGGTCACCATTAATCCTCTGATGTGTGATGGCGGTTGTGGTTTTACTGTCAGGTTGAATAAGGGGTGGTCTGTC